ATTGCTAATAACAAACCAATTTAAATTATGCTTTTGGTGTTTCAAACTTAGTAAGTTTAAAGCATACTAAGAACCCAGCTGCATTCTGTTCCCCTATGTGCATCTCCAACTTGAAGATAAGGTTCAGTCACGCCATGTGTGATTGATGGTGTTAAGTGCCACACTTAATTTTTTTAAAACCTCTCTGCTGTGTATTGATTGAGTAAAAGCAACACTGATTAAAGAAAATGATGAAAAAAATTCATACTAGTTTGAATTTATAAAATGAAAAACTAAGCTCTAGATGGAGCCTCTTAATTACCAGAGGAAAACAGGGAATTATTATCATTAAAACTCAAAGCTGAGGAGCCTTGGCCCTTTTGGGTATATCTAAATTTTCATGAACCAGTTTTTGTTTAGGAAAATAGTCACCAAATGGGATAAATATTTAAAGTTTTCTAAATGTTGCACCTGTCTCTTGTCACTGTGTTTCCCACCGACCTTTAATGTCCTGCCAGACTGTACCTGTTAGCATGTTAGACTACCTGTGGCAGAGTGCTAAGCCATATGTGCTCTCAGTGGTGTGTCAGAGTTTTCTCTTCTTTTCTGTCATCACATATTTTAGTTTTTGAGTGTGAAGCTAATGTAGATTGTCTTGTCCTCCTTGTTGTGAATGTCCTTGGAGAAGTCCCTTTCCATCCTGGGCCTCAAGGTCCTCTGTTTGAACTATGAAGAGATTGTAAACTGTGAAGAGTCCCTTCATTCTCTGAGATCCTATGATTTGGCTGAATATTTATTTATTTATTTTGAGATGGAGTCTTGCTCTGTCTCCCAGGCTGGAGTGCAGTGGCATGATCTCAGCTCACTGCAACCTCTGCCTCCCGGTTTCAAGTGATTCTCCTGCCTCAGCCTCCCGAGTAGCTGGAATTACAGGTGTGAGCCACCTCGCCTGGCTAATTTTTGTATTTTTAGTAGAGATGAAGTTTCACCATGTTGGCCAGGCTGGTCTCAAACTCCTGACCTCAAGTGATCCACCACTTTGGCCTCCCAAAGTGCTGGGATTATAGGTGTCAGCCTCTGTGCCCGGCCTTGAGTGAATACTTTAAAAAGTATTTTTATAGTATGACTTTTATGAATAACTTTTATTTGATTTGAAAAGGAATAACAATATCCATAACCAAAAAAAGACAAAAAATTGCAGCATTCCACAAGAAAAATCTGAACTTTGGCTTGAGTTTCCAGAACTTGTAGTCAAGTATTTGTGTGAGTTGTGAGGGGATAAGAGAATTTAGGGTAGATTTATACAGTGTTACCATTTATTATTTTTTGCGGTTTTATTTTTTTCTTACGTTTGTTTGGTGTCACCATTTATTCTTTTGTATACTCTTTAGCCTCTGAAGAGGGCATCTCTGTGTTTATAGAAGAAAAATGTGACTCTCATGTTGTACACAGCCCTAGACTGGACATTAAGGTCTTCTAACTGTCCTAAGCTTCTTAGGAAGATACTGTCTTCGTATTTTAATTTGGAATCATACTGGCACAGGACTCGGTATGCACTGTAACTCCTACTATTCTATTTTTTCAGCTTGGATTTACATTGGGCAACGTGGTTGGAATGTATCTGGCTCAGAACTATGACGTAAGTGGCCATATCCATGACTACCTTGATTCCATGTAACTGTTTTAGAGTGACTTTTCTTTGTTTGAGGTAAGGTGTGACTTCCAGCATAAATGAGGTCCATAGGGCTGAGGCAAACTCCTGAATATTGTAGAATGGTTTGCCATTGTTTGAAAAAGTAATACAGCTCATGAAACATCTGTCCTCTTCCGTATCACCACAAGAGGGAAAAATCCCTTCAGTTCAGCTGGGCTCATGAAGATCCTTAGCTGTGGCTTGTTAGCTCAGAGTAATATTAAGTTGGGCTCTTAAAATTCTTAGGGAAATCATGTGATAAGTGAGAATTTAAAGATTAATTGGATAATATTTTCAGCCCCACTACCCAGTAGTAGAGATGACTTAGAATTTTGGAGATGCATCTGGGTAGGGGGACTGAAAAATATAGATCTGTATTCCATCTTCAAAATTCTAAGGGTAGCACATTTGAGGACAGAGTTTTGTGAAGTTGTATTAACCTCGCTTTATAGATGGCGATGTTGAAAACCAGGTGGTGCAGCAGCCTACGAATGGGGATTCTGGACAGGTGTTTGAAAAAGACAAGCAAGGGAAACATGATATTGATTTGTTTTGTTGTAAAGCTTTTTGTATGACAAAGGGAATTCCTTTGTCAATCTTCGTTTGAGTCATATAGTTTTCTAGGCAAAGGCTATATTATGTCACATTTATTGTTTATACGTACAACCTTTACTTGGCACCAGATCGAGTGGAAGTGGGTATACAAAAGTAGAAGTGGCTTTCAGAGAGGAGCATACTTATCTGACAACTTCTGATATCTTTCTATGCAGTTATGAGGCTAAGAAATACCACTATTGGCTGGGTTTAGTGGCTCACGCCTGTAATCCTAGCACTTTGGGAGGCTGAGGTGGGCAGATTGCTTGAGCTCAGGAGTTTGAGACCAGCCTGGGCAATATGGCAAAAGCCCATCTTTACAAAAAATACAAAAATTAGCCAGGCGTGGTGGCATGTCCGTGGTCCCAACTACTTGCGGGACTGGGGCGGGAAGGATCGCTTGAGCTCTGGAGGTCAATCCTGCAGTGACCTATGTTTGCACCATTGCGCTCCAGCCTGAGTGACAGAGACCCTATCTCAAAAAAGAAAGCAAAAAGAACCACTGTTTAGGAGATCTCTTTCGGGGGAAGATAAAAGCTTGTAAAACCATTTATCTTTGGAGGAAAAGAAGTACAAGAATATTGATTAGGTAGATGCAAAATTATAATAATCTTTTTTCTCTTTAAAGATACCAAACCTGGCTAAAAAACTTGAAGAAATTAAAAAGGACTTGGATGCCAAGAAGAAACCCCCTAGTGCATGAGACTGCCTCCAGCACTGCCTTCGGGATACACTGATTCTACTGCTCTTGAGGGCCTCCTTTACCATCTGAACCAAAAGCTTTTGTTTTCGACTCCAGCCTCAGCACTTCTCTTCTTTGCTAGACCCTGTGTTTTTTGCTTTAGAGCAAGCAAAATGGGGCCCCAATTTGAGAACTACCCTACATTTCCAACATACTCACCTCTTCCCATATTCCCTTTCCAACTGCATGGGAGGTTCTAAGACTGGAATTATGGTGCTAGATTAGTAAACATGACTTTTAATGAGTAGCGTCTTCTTTATTGTTTGCGATTTTTACTACCTTTTGTCAAGAGAAAAACGGATGAGTTTTGTATAGCTGGTCAGATACAAATAATAGTGACTTCACAGTTTAGCAATTATAATGGGTACTTTTTAAACATTTGGTACTAAATTATGTTGCTACAAAGTAATTAAAATTAATATCTAGAGCTAGTTTTGGTGAATTATTCATTTATTTTGTACTGCTGTTAGGCAGCTCTGTAGTTGCTAATTTAACCAATGAGTCAATTTGCTGTTCATTAACTAAGAAATGATTCTGAGAATCCTGTCAGGAATTGGAGAATGAAAAAATATGCAAAATAATGGTCTTTGTCCCAGTAGAGTTCGTAGTCTATTTAGTGTGCATGTTTTTCCTTAATGATGTATTTGATCTGACTTTTCCTTCTCAGAAGAATCATACTTGGGATTACAGGTACATTTGATGTTATGTGATGGATAAGTGAAAAGTTTTTAAAGGAGATTTTATACCTTTTCACATTAAAAAAGGTATTTGTACTATTACTTTGTAGTGATTCTCTTAAGAAAAAATGTAGCCCAAATGTATAGTAAAATCAGCAGCTCAAGAAGAATTTCTGCTTCTCTTTGTAGTTGATGCTTTGTTTTTTCCTGCAGTCAGAAATTCCCTGTATTTGTCAAATGTATAATCAGCTTGTATTGTTTTTAAATTTAAAAAAAATTGAATAATTAACTTTTCCCATAGGACAAGATACAAAAGTAATTTCACGGAAAGGGCCTTTCCCACCCCTGTTCTCTGGCTCCTGGCTCCTCTTTGACAAGTTACTGTTACCATTTTGCCTTATACTTTTGAGAAAGAGTCTGTGCCTAAACAAACATGTGTAACACAAATAGTAACTATACACAGAGGTCTGACCCTCGCTTCTTTTTTTTTAATGGAGATCATTCTATATCAGCAAGTAAGTAGCAAGGAACCTCATTCTTTTTTTGACTGCCTAATATTTTTTTGAATAGATACAACATAATTGATTTAATCTGCTACTGGTGAATGCTTAGGTTGTTCTTTTGCTGTTACAATGATAACCTCATTCCTAATGTTATTAAACATATCGATTCAGGATAGAGCTATAAGATAAAGTCCTAAAAGTATAGTTTAGACTAAATATAAATACCCATTTCATTAGCTGTTTTGTTTCAGAGGGCTTGTTGAGCAGCTTCACTAATAATGCCATTTTTGAAGACATGGCAGGTTCAGAATCAATACATTGGCAGAATTGTGCAGAGCATCTTTTTTCAGACAGTAATGACACTGATTCTGTATGTGATAAAGTGATTCTGCTTCTCTTTGACGAGTTGCATCTCTCCTACATGGAAGTAAGTTTTATTCCTGTCAAGGTTGTCTTTGTGTGTGAGACAGATTAGGATTAAATTATGGTTTGACTTTTCTTAGCAGCGTGATCATGGGCAAGTGGCTTATTCTTTTTTTTTTAAAGTTTTTTTTTTTTTTTTTTCCAAGACAGAATCTCACTCTGCTGCCCAGGCTGGAGTGCAGTGGCAGTCTCAGCTCACTGCATCCCCTTCTTCCTGGGTTCAAGTGATTCTCGGGCTGCAGCCTCCCAAGTAGCTGGGATTACAGGTGCCTGCCACCACACCTGGCTAATTTTTGTATTTTTAGTAACGACGAGGTTTCACCATGTTGGCCAAACTGGTCTCGAACTCCTGGCCTCAAGTGATCTGCCCACTTCAGCCTCCCAAAGTGCTGGGATTACATGCATGAGCCGCTGCGCCCAGCTTTTTTAAACTTTTAGGTTCATTTAATAGGTAAATTGTGTGTCAGAGGGGTTTGTAGCTTATTCTTTCAGAAACTCTTGCATTATCTGTAGATGTGGACGTAAATATCCACCTCATGGGGTTTTCATTAAAAAATTGAGATAATGTATGTAATGTTGCACAGTGCTTTGCAGACTATCTAATAAATAGTAGCTATTAGTACAAACTTGTTGCTTTTTGGCTAGTTCTGCAGTCACTTTTGGAATCAGCTTATGAACCACACAAAAAATTTGTCATTATTCTGTAGTCACTGTTTTTGATACTGATGAAAATTTACAGTATCCACCTGGATCATACCATCTGGCTCACAAGATTTGATCTTGAATTGTTAGCGCAATGAACTAGAGCCCCAAAGGATGAAGGTTTACCTTGTGGGTATTAAAAATGCTAGAAGCTTAGAAAGCTGTTTCCAAAGAGAGATTCCTTGTTACCAACCATGATAGCATTGCTATGGTGTATGTGGTCTCCCAGAGTGGCTGCTTTGGGATGGGAGGTCACTTAGCTATTAGAAGTTAGGTCTCTTTGTATTATACCTTATAAACAAGGCTCATTTGGACTTAGGGCTTCCCTTAGGGGTGACACTTAACCTTGCCAAGGAGATCATTTCTACCAGTGGGATCCATCCAGCAGATCAGTTCTTAAGTTCAGCTTCATCATGTGTACTGCTACACAGTGCAGGCTGACTTCGCATTCACCATTCAGATGCCCTCTCCTAGTTTTATGTTCTTGGCAGCAATGAAAAGGACCTCAGAGTTCTCAGGCAAGATGATCTTCACTGAGCTATATGTTGGAGGAACCCAGAACCATCATGGTTTTAGGGTGTAGTTGAAAATCCTTGCTGTGAATGGGGTTTGTGACACTGAAAGTTACCCCTTCCCTGGGAATTTTGTGGGAACCCTTGCCACACAAATCAATGGAGCGGTGGGAAGAAGCACCACAAGATATGCCTTTTTTTTTTCCTTTAAAAAATGTTTGAAAACTCCTACTAATCTGGGTAGGAAAACTTCTGCCACATCTGATCATAAAATGAGAGTTGCTCAAAATACTAGTGCAGATCACTCTGACATGTGAAATACAAGACTTCAGGATTGGTGCTGGAAACTTAATAAATACAGTGAACTTGAAAAGCTTATCCCTAAACTGTAATCCTCCCAAACAAAACAAAAACAAAGCAAGAAAAAAAAAAACCTTATTTAAAATTGTCAAAAGAGGCTGAATTTTTTGAAGTTACCAAAATTATATCTTTAGACCTTTCTTCTGATTTGGTATTTTATGTATTTTAGCAGTTACCTGATTCTGATTTAAAGGAGCAATTTTATTTCTTCTTTTCTAACTCATTTACCCAATGAGTTTGTGTGACTATAGAGAAAAGTAGGCTGTGTGGTTTTTCTAGTTGTCTATACACGTTGCCTCATAGAGCATATGTACACATGTGTAATGTTTTCATTTCCACTAAGCCGTTCACTCCCTAGATACTATGCTGGTGTTTGTTTTTCTGCTGAGGTCTCCCACATTTTTAATGCCTTTCTGAGTTACTCCTCCTGAAGGAACGTTATATATTGTACTGGAAGCAAATGAGGCTTTTCTTAAACTTCCAGTCTTGGGTTTTGCATGTAGCATTTCAATTACTTACAGATGAATTAGTTCTTTTTTTCCCTATTGACTATTAGGGCTTTGCCTTATGGAAAGGAATAGGGTGGTGAAGGGAAAATATTTTGAGATCTTGCCTGGTCTTAATAGGGAGTTTGTGACACTTAGATTTTCAAGTGTTCAGTTTATACCTTTCCCAAATCTGGTTGCAGTGTATTTAGTCAAGCATTGAAGACCTAACATATGGCATGTTTTGCAAGGCACAGGAAAGAAAAATAAACTGAGAACAGCGAGACCTTCTGGAAATTCCCAGAGTGGGACGCTGCAAACCCTGGGTCCTGGGCCTGCCTGAATCACAGCCTCAGTGGGAGGATCTTATGAAAGGTACAGTGCTGTTGCATCATCTTACACAATTGTACAGGACTGGGACCAAAAAAGGTGCCACGTAAATAGTGCATGCAGTTGTGTTCAGTGTTCATTCAGTGAGGACAGCCCCACTGAGCTACCTGTGTACTCAGGTGGTCTCGGTTCCCTTTGTGTTCTCATGTTTTGAGTTTCTTGCTGTCCTGAGAGTGATTCTAGTGTTTAGAGACTTTTTCAAATACCGTGGACCCCAAATGTGAAGCCAACTACCTCATTTATTGTATAGCTGAACAAACAGATTTGTTCTGATGTTGGAGGGAAAACTAGCTGCTTTTTATTTATTAAAAGATGGTACATGAGTGTTTGTGATATGTAAATATTAATGTGAAAGATTGTGTACCATGTACTCTATGTCTGACTTAATGGAACTTCAAAGGCAACTTTAAGCAAATTTGATAAAGAATTGACTTAACAATAAGATGCAACTATACTTAGTGACTTTGGCTCACAGTTTCATCATCCACAAAATATTAGAAGGTAAAATTAAATTATATTTGCAAGAGACACAAGACTATTAAGGAGGGCTAGAAGTTATCCAACAGTGGAGTGATTTAGATGACAAGGAGTTATTAATCATATCTGCCATTTCCTGTCACTGGAATGGGCAACCTTGCTTGGCTTGAATCTCCAGTTCTGGGAAAGAACAGAGAGCAGTTAGTAGACCAGACTGAAATAAACGCTCTTTCTAAATTGGCTAGTTGAATGCATTCATTACTCGGAGCACCTGGCAGCAGTTGCTGGGACAGCTTTCCCTTCAGGAGTGAGTCAGGTTCTCACATAGTTGAATACTGGCCAGTAATTCTAAGTCCACTTAATTCTAAATCAACTTTTCTTTCTCTTTTTACTTATACTCCCAGAATCTTACTGATTATCTACACCTTTGTCCTACTGTCTGACTTAAGGGCAAAGGATCTGCATTCTGTGATGGGTCATAAATGTGATGTTTGGCTCTTCTGATAATAAGATTAACACCCTGACTCTTTTGAAAATTTAAAGCAAATGACTTTAGAGATGTTGGCTGGATCAAATCAGCTGTAGCTTACCTAACATTGGTATTTCATTTGGGCTTGTGAGGTCTTAACTATTACATTGGACAAATAATTTTGGTCTAACTCACAGGGCAGAAGCACTAATGTTCCTGTTAACCCTGGTCAGTCACATTCTGTGGTTGGAGCAGATGTGTGAGGTTGTTTCTTTTGCTCCAAAATAAACTTTACAACTCACGGATGCTTGATCAATTAAGGGAGTGATTTTATAGATAAATTATTATGGGAAAACTGCACGTGCTATCAATAGTAACTTAAAATCACTTAAAACAGTGCAGTAATTGTAGGGGACTCCCTTTCCCCTAAGACATATTTAGCAAGCAACTGATGGTAGAAATAAAAAAATCTGTAATGCCAACAAACTAGAGGGATTGAGAGCTATAGCCAGTCATGTAGCAAGGATATCTATCATGGAGAAAATGGCATGATCTTTAGGAGGAGAAAGAAGCCTTGATTTCCAGACAGCTTTTTTCTCATGGGACACGTTTATTGAGCACTTACAGCTTACTACATTGTAGAAGTTGCTGGGGGATTTCAAGAGGCATAGACAGCTCTTCTCCCTCAAGGGGCTCATGTAGGGATGTGTAGGAAGTGACAGATGTGTTTGGACCATTGGCTACTACTTAGTACTTTGTTTTCTCAGGAACAAACTACTTATTATATCCAGAAGCAAGCCAGTGTAATATAATAATAGTGCTGTGGTCTTAATTATAGTTTTGGTGTCCCTTATAAGACTGGTAGGAAAGTTTTCCCTCCCTCCCAAAACTTAACCAAGGCAATAGATTTGTGGTTAGTGACAGGTGGAGAGAGAGATGTTAATCTCAATGTATCTTCTTTCTTGACTTCTCTTTCCTTTTTTTTTTTTTTATTTTTGAGACAGAGCCTCGCTCTGTCGCCCAGGCTGGAGCGTGCAATGGTGCGATCTCAGCTCACTGCGCCTTCGTGCCTCCACCGCACCCCGGCCGAGCTGTCCCTTTCCTTTGACTAGTAGAACAACACCAGCCTTCTTTTCTGAAAGGGAACACTATATCTTTATGGGAATTTGGTGCCAAGGTAAGGGAGCCATTGAAGAGAGATGCTTAACAGGGAATCAGTAGTGATGAAAGAGTATGATTGCAATGAAGAAGACCTACTAAAGAACGCCTTCTTGTGAGCGGAACTTAGGATAGAAGCACTTAAGAGAAAGGACTGATGGCCGGGCATGGTGGCTCATGCCTGTAATCCTAACACTTTGGAGGCTGAGTCAGGTGGATCACCTGAGGTCAGGAGTGTTGGAGACCACAGCCTGGCCAACATGGTGAAACCCCATCTCTACTGAAAATACAAAAAACTAGCTGGGCATGGTAGCACGTGCCTGTAATCCCAGCTACTCAGGAGGCTGAGACAGGAGAATCGCTTGAACCTGGGAGTGGGTTGCAGTGAGCTGAGATCGTGTCACTGCACTGCCAGCGTTGGGCAACAGAACAAGACTCCATCTCAAAAAAAAAAAAAAAAAAGGCAAGAGAAAGGAGCTGACAATTAGGTTTCAAGTTCTGGGTGAGGTTTCCCCAAAAAAGATGTCACTGGTTTTCACTCTGCCTCGGTAGGATGGCTTGGGTATCTTCCACTCCTAAGAAGGTATTAAAAATAACATAAAACCTAGTGAGTTTGCACGGCTGTAGCCTCTGAAGGCAAGTAAGACAGGCCTTCTTTCCTGTCTTTCAGAATGAATGGATTACAAACACTAGATTCAATTTTAGGTTTTCTTTGTCTTCTTTTTTTAACTTAATTTTATTTTCTTTTTCTGTGAGCCTATGGTTGTATTGAAACTTTAGGTTTTCTTGGACGCCTGGCTGGGTGCTTGAAGGGCGACGAAGAAGACACTAACAGCTAAGCTGTTCTTGATGGTTGTTGGGAGGATCCTGCAGTTCAGCTTGAGGGGTCGGGAATCTTCTGTTGGAGGGATGCCTCTCGCGGCGTGGAGTCCTGGGGTATGTGTGCTCCTGGTGGTCCCCTAGGGTTTTCCTTTCGCCTTGTGGTCCAATTCTGCTGGGTAACATGGCAGCCGCTGTGGGTTGGGCCAGTTTCGCTGTACTTTGCATTAGGCTTGACAGATGGATGATGCCTGGACCCCTCGCCATACTGGGTAAGTGTTCCGGTGGAGAGCGCTAAACTCCCCAGGTGGTTGGATGGCTACCCATACTCATCTACCAACTCCAAATAACGTTGACTCCCGGCCAGCTTTCGACTACTAGGACACAAACCAGCCAACACCCTAGTCCACTCTGACCAGCAGCAGCACAGATCTCCCAAGTCCCCCTTCTGCCCCGCAGCCTAAGACTCTTGTGGCCCAGATAGTTCCCATGCTGCTGCCTGGGGTGCGCTCTAGCCATGCCTTTGCTAGGGGTGCACAGGACTGTTGGTAGGGCGGGAAGGGGACAATTGAGTCATGCTCCACTCTCCATCGCTCACGAGCACTTCTCCACTGAAGAGTGTTCAGTGGGAAGCCTAGGAAGGTGTTGTTAGTTACTTGGAACACCCACCCTACGGAACCGTGAAGAAGTGTATTTCTGCAGCCTCACTCTTAGGGAAATGTGCTGAACAAAACTAAGCCGATCTCCTGTAAAGCAGGAACTTCTCAGCCCCTATGCGCCAATACAGGGAACTTGTAGGACGGGCTATATTACATGAAGCCTTTGCTACTGTTACCATTTTTTTAAGGAACCAGCCTTGGTGGAAACAGTGTTACCTTGAGTTCACCTGGCGGAAACAGTTCAGCTGCCTCTGCTCAGCTCTTCCTCAGGAAGGAGACACAGGTGTGCTAGCCTGGAGTGGGGCCTTTGCGTCTTTCCTCTGAGGGATTACACCTCAGTGACTGACGCCTTTTCACTTCCTGCCTGACATTGACCACTCACAGGGTTGAAGTGGGGGAGGTGAGGGATGATGGGCTGGCAAGCCAGATGGGAAAAATGTGTCCTGTAAGGGATAGCTGGCACCCTCCCCAATGAGTAACCAGGCCATACAGCGTGTAGCCAAAACAAGTCACTAGCTGGCCCATTAAGATTGGCGAAAATTTGCAAGGGGAAAGGATACTGGGAAATTGTTTTCAACAAATGGCTATGGCATGTCCTCTCTCTCCTGCTGGTCTGGTGAGGGTCCCCTGGGCATTTTGGCATGGTGGACAGGTCCATGTTTTCCCCCACAAGGTGAAAGCGCGGTTCTAGCAGGGCTAAATTTAAAAGGAGTGTTAAGAGAGTTGAAAGGGACCCCATGGAGCATCCAGCTGGAGCCCCGTCATTTAGCAAGATTGGGAAACTGGAAGTCAAGGTCGTGCCCAGAGCTGGGAATAGAACCCAAGACTGGCTCACATTCTTGTCACCTGGTACCGTTTGAAAATTACTGCCTCTGATCATTTGATTCCCGTGTAGAAAGCCAGAGTGGGGTCAGTGGATGGGGACACGACTGCAGAAGAAAAAGCAGGAGAGCACGGAGAGCTGGGGTAGAGT